ACAGGTAACATGGTCAAGTTGACACAAGACTAATCCCACCATGTAGGAACCTCCAGGAGGACACATTTGTGTGCGGCCGATGCCAAGAGGTTAAGGTTGATTTCATCTGAACGTGGCCTCTGCCTTCTCCTTGGGCTTTGATTATCATTTGCATGTAAAGGTACCCCATGTGCAGGGCGAATGACCCTGCCCACACTGCCTGGATTAGCCTGAAGAACATTCACCAGCCCACCGCTACAAGCTCAAATAAGAGATAACTTTCCTGGGTTTCCTGTAACATCATCTCTATTTCTCATCCTCACAGGGTAACCTTCCTGGATATTACCATTTAAAATCAAGCTGCAGGTTACTACCCTTTCCCACCCATGGTGTCCCCCCCCTTCTATATTATATGCTTTATTTTGTTTAACATCTTCCCTCCTGTCCTATAGCAGATTGATGGCCGGGCGGGACACTCGCCGTTGTGACTGGGTGTCATATGACGTCCTGTTAAGACGAGCCGCTCACGCAGCCATGGGGCCGTGCAGAAGCGTAATCTGTCACCGTGACAAATCACTACACCAGCCCGTTGCCAGTGTCATGTCCAATCACAGCAGATCACATTTCAATTTTATGCAATGGATGGCTTCCTGTCATGCCATCCATTGTATACAATTATGTTGTTAGCTCTGACTGGCCAAGGCAGTCACATGATACAGACAGGGCCAATCACAGCCCATCTGTATCAAGTGATCAGCTTTGCCCAATCACAGCTAAACACAACAAAAGACTGAATGAATCAGTTTCATTCAGTAACAATGATTGCAAATATCAATGAAATACATTGGTATTAGCTATCATAATGTGTTAAAAAAAAAAAGAAGAAAAATCCTGATCACTTGCCAGTGTAGTTCACTTTTACTATGGTAACATTGTATTGTTTTGGTCACAGTGTGCTGAAAAATAAAATAGTAAAAAAAAAAAGTAAAAATGTAATAGAAAATTTAAAAAAATAATAGAAACATTTGAAAGAAAAATACAAAAAAAATACAAATTCAATTATTTATAAATTTATGCAGAAATGTTATTTATTTGCAAAATTTTATAACAGAAATGAAGAAACTGTTTTTTTTAAACGTTTCAGGTGTTTTTTGTTTTATTTAGCAAAAAAGAAAAAACTCAGGGGTGATTAAATACCACCAAAAGAAAGCTCTCTGTGTGAAAAAAAAATTATAAAAATTTCATATGGGTACAGTGTTGCCTGACTGCGAAATTGTCATTCAAAGTGCGACAGCGCTGAAAGCTGAAAATTGGCCTGGGCAGCAAGGGGGTATAAGTGCCCGGTATTGAAGTGGTTAAATACTTACCAACTGTCTTTAGTCCTGTCACAAGGCATGTAGGGTCCTCTTCCTCTTTGGCTATTTTCTGTCACTGGGTGGTCCTCAAGGATGCAGAAAGCACACTGTTGTAATGAAGTCAGTGCTGCTTTCTGCATCATTACACTGTGGGTATAGTGAAGCCTCTGGGTTGAATGAGGCTGGGTGTGATTCAAATGGGTAAACAGGCCATCTTGTGGTAGAAGAGAATTACTGCAGAAAACAGAGCTGGAAAGGAGATGGGTACTGAAGCAGCTTATTTAAAATGTATGAGCCAGTTTGGGGAGATTTTAATTAAAAATCTTTAATATTTTTCTGACAGGGATTGTGTTTTAACTTCCAAGGAAACTTCCATTTTCTGAGATCCTAGATGTTCAGCCAGGAGCAGGGGCAGACTGACAACTCATGGGGCCCCCGGGCAATAGGGGATCATGGGGCCCCTGTGTCCTTGCCCAAACTCAAAAAAGCCTATGAAAAAGGTACCAGGGGCATCTCATGGGGCCCCCTACTGACCCCGGGCTCTTGGGCAGTGCCCGAGTTTCCAAATGGTCAGTCCGGCCCTGGCCAGGAGAGAAAACCTGGCAAAGTACCTAGAAAGAAAACGGCATTGTTGAGTTTTTAAATCAAGTTGAAAGTAATAAAAAACTTTTTTTTACAGTTATGTGGTGGAATATTCAAATGCTTCATGCAGGGATAAACAGTTAAGGGGTATTCACTGGTGAGAGGTTATAACCAACTTTGCCTCCTATGCGTAGAAGTTTTGGACATAAACTCAAGTCTATAGCACACCAGCTATATAGAATGCAGGCTGGTATCAGTATGGCATGGGCAGGGGAGGACTGACCATTTGGAAACTCGGGCAGTGCCCGAGGGCCCGGGTCAGTAGGGGGCCCCATGAGATGCCCCTGGTACCTTTTTCATAGGCTTTTTTGAGTTTGGGCAAGGACACAGGGGCCCCATGATTCCCTATTGCCCGAGGGCCCCATGAGAAGTCAGTCAACCCCTGGGCATGGGGCAGCATGCTCCCTGTTTCCTTGTCATGGGGTTGCAAGTGTATATGCTTGAGTGTGCTAGGCTCATAGTGATTAGGGGAGTTCACAAGGTGTTTTTTAAAAATGAAGATAGAAAACAACAAAAACAAACCTCCCAAGTGCTAATGCCACACTTTTACAAATGATCTTGTATGACATTGTAAGTAGCACAAAACATTGGGGGACATTTATCAATCTGGTTGCAGGAAAAAGCAATGTTTAAAGGAGTAGTGTGACATATCCTGTGATAGTTTTATTACAAGGTTGCAGCTATGAATTCCTACTTTGGCTGCACTGAATCCCACATTTAACAGTTTTGCTACCAGAGCAATTTTTGCGCACATATTTAAAAAAAATCATTTTAGGCCTGAAGATTAGCTAAAACCCCCAAACATTATATATTTTCTCTAGAGAATTCATAGCAGTAGTTCCAGATATGTTACACGATATTGGTGAAACAGTTTATCAAATGCACAGTTTCAGTAAAAAATGCACAAAGATAATCTTAGGGTACACAGTTTCAATATATTACCCATTTGTGTACGCGCCCCTGATGTGATCTATTTACATTTGTACATGTGTATGTTGGGGTGGAGGGCGCTAAGAAATGTTTTGCAAGGTTTTAAATGCTTGGATGTCACTACATTTTTTACACTTTGTACTTTTTATCACTAAACTTTATTTTCCTTAGCATAGTAAACAAAATGTCCCTATGTGATTATTTTTTTGGTGACATGTTCTCTTTAGTGACACATTAGGAGTATAAAATATCTATGATGTCACACCTGCCTTCCAATACAGCTAATGAAGTTCATATTGAAGCCAATGGATATCTTCCATCTGATAATCAACAGATAAACCCCCAGCCACTACCATAAGCGTTACGGCGGTGGTGGTAAAATAGTAAAACCTGACCCTGACCACTTCTTGGTTATTTGTCTCATTTTTATTTATTTTTTTAATTCTTTTTATTCGATTTAAAAGTTCAGAAATATACAAAACAGAGCCTATAGAGCATACCCAGGCTCTGTACTACACTTTAACAACGTTACAAACTAGTACTGGCCTAGAACAGAACACAGAAAAACAACAAACTATCAAACTAACAGTACGCTCAGTCCCTATGTAGGAGTCTGGAACATTCCCTAGACACCAAAAAAACTCTGTATTAACATGGCTTCTAGGGATCCAACAAAAATGTCAACTCCAGGGCTTTTGTAATAGTGCTGCCAACATAACATCATAGAGTTCCATAAGATCATTAGGGAATATTACTTAAAGTTTCTTAAACCTTCTCAAGTTAAAAGGAAGAATCCTGCTCCGCATTCGTGGATGGAGAGTCTGCTCAAATATCCCAGACCTTATGGAACTTGTGGGGACATCCCTGAGATCGGTAAGCAGCCTTATACAGTGAGATCATAGAATTAATTAACCTCTTCCAGCAATTAGAGGTGGGAACATCTGGAGATTTCCACTGCAGTACTATAGCTTTCTTAGAGTAGAACAATAAGATTCATAATAAGGTTCTGGAGTCCCTACTATGTGCCAAAGAGTCAACCAGCCCCAACAGACATACACACACTGATAATGGTACCTGAATGGTGGCAACTGAAAGGATACAGGCGACCACTGACCTCCAGAAAAGCTGAATATGTGGACACCGCCAAAAAATATGGATGAAGTCGGCTGAGGTCGCCCCACATCTCCAACAATCAGCGGGGACTGAGGAATATATTCTATGAAAACATATAGGGGTGAGATAAATACCGTGCAGAATTTTAAACTGTATTAGTCTGTCCTTAACAGAAACCAGATGCTGAAAGGAACATTCCCATACATCTTCCCAGTCTTCATTGTCCAGGTCTGGAAAATCAACTAGCCACTCTGTTTTAAGAACCTCAAGTTCCTTATGGACAGAGGGAAGCAATTCCTTAAATATAGTGGATAGAAGTTTACCTAAAGTTTCGTCTCTTAAGTAAAGTCTCCAGTTCAGAGTTATAAATGGCAACAGGTGTTACTGGAAATTGAATATGGAAAGTGTGTCTAAGTTGTAAATATTTAAACAAAGGCCATACTGTTGTTTCAGGCTGTCAGAACAGATTTGGTCAATGTACTTAATGCCTTTCACTGCCAGATATGTGGGTCAGGGATCAAAGCACATTCATGCAACCTAGGGTTACACCATAATGGGGTATGTTGAGAGAAAATACCCTCAGGAACCAGCTGATCTGTCTGAGCCATAAACCATGCCCATAAAACTGTTTTCATCGCCCCGGTCATTGGAAGAGGAGCCACTGGGCCACAATAAATAAGGTTCCTTAACGCCACATAGGAGCCCAGGCAGGAGGCTTCCAATATTACTGATGCATTCGATTTATCTGCAGTTACCAATTATGAGCATGTGTGAGCACAGCCACCAGGTAGTACTTAAATAGATCAGGGCAGGTGGCACTGACTGGCACTGTTAGGCGGCACTGATAGGCAGCACTGACGGGCAATAATAGGCAGCACTGATGCACACTGATAGGCGGCACTGACTGGCACTGATAGGTGGCACTGATTGGCAGCACTGATAGGTATCACTGACTGGCATTGATAGGTGGCACTGACTGGCACTGATGGGTGAAACTGAAAGGCAGCTCAGATGGGCACTGATATGTGGCATTGATGTGCACTGGTAGGCACTGAAATGTGGCACTGATGGGCACTGGCAGGTGGCATGGATGAGCACTGACAGCTGGCACTGATGGACACTGACAGGTGGCACTGCTGGGGCTACACAGATCATCAGGGCACACTGATCATCAGTGCTCTGATGATCTGTGTACATGTCCCCTCTGAGGAATGCCGATTATCGGCTCTCCTCTCCTTTCGAGCTGTCAGTGTGACAGCTCATGAGGAGAGAAATGCCGATAACCGGCATTTCCCTGTTTTACATGTGATCAGCTGTGATTGGACACAGCTGATCACATGACCGAGCCGACATCCTCGGCTCTTTCCGTTGATCGGTGATCCGCTGTGTTCGAGGGACACAGCGCACCGCCGGAGCCGTGCATGTGCGGTTAGAATGATGTCCTCCCAGAACAAGAGAACCGCCTTGCGCCCGTCATTGTACTATATGGCGGGTGGGAGGCGGTTAAATGAATCAAAACTTCATGAACAGTAGTGATACTTCTGATTAAGCGTGTGTGTCATTGATGAATTGTAAGAAAATGAAGTAAAGGTGGTCGTGTGTGACTTCTACCTCTGCGAAGTTGTCCTGTCTGTTCTGGGGTATATATATAAAGTACACGTGCAAAGTACCGGCCCAGGGTTGTTGTCCTATGGAAGTTCATCTGTCAGTACATACTGCTGCTCTATGATTCCTAATCTGCAGTTGCTACCCATATGGAAAGAAAAAATATATTTTAAATATATTTTAAAAATATTCTTCCCAAATATATTGCCATGTATTTGAAATGCTACAATTTTGGCCATATTCAATATATATATATATATACTGCATGTTGAAATGTGTTTTTATTACAAAATATATGAAAAATATTTTTAAAAATACATTTCAAATATACTGTATGTCTTTAAAAATACAAATCTACAAAAGCCATATCTAACCCCTAAATACAGGGAAAGGAAGTTTGGACAGAGATAGAATGTCTAAGCAAAAGACCAGCTGGTCAACAACAGAAGGGTTAAGTTTAACACTCATAATAACCCTTGACCTCAGGGAAAGAGAATTCCAGAATAAGGAAGGATATTACCTGAAGGTCCAGGGTATACCATAATTCAGACTAATGTGTAGAAAACCAGGACTAAAAGCAGAAGGACTCCCCCAAACCAACACCCAGAGATGTTTCTGGTGTGTGATAGCCACACTGTAACCTGCCTAACTACATAAAAAAAAACATAGGTTTTTAAGACTCATCCAACCTACACCTGTAAAGAGAAAAATACTCCACCTTGAAAAGAAGGCTAGGAATCTTAGTACTATGAACTTACACCTGATAGAGAATATTTATTTATTTCAGGTACTTATATAATGCTATCATTTTATGCACATCAGTCCCTGCCCTCAAGGAGCTTATATTCTAAGGTCCCAAGCTCACATTCATACATGCACATACTAAGGTCAATTTAGACAGGAACAATTTAACCTACCGGCATGTCTTTGGAATATGGGAGGAAACTGGAGTACCCAGAGGAAACCTATGCAGGGACAGGGGGACCATGCAAACTCTGTGCAGGTAGTGCCATGGTTGGGATTCAAACCAACAACCCTAGTGCTGCTAGGTGGAAGAGCTAACCACTTAGCCACTGTGCTACCCTGTATGAGAGAGAAAATAATCTAAGGATACCTCAGCCATGGAAAGATGACATATTCTCTGTGATTAGGTCCCATAAAGGCTTCTAGACTTACCCTATCCCTCTTAGGGGGAATCTGTAGCAGATGAACAGCATATCCAGGGAGTAAAGGACCCTCTAATGATGAATACTTCCTTCTAAGGGGAAAGGAGGGGCACTCAAGGGCTAAAACCTCACTCTTCAGTATGGGAACCATCAGTTAATGGGAGCCCAAAGATTATACCTTGACTCACTGCTTTCAGGAATGACACACTCGTTGTCCTCATAGGGTAGGGGGAAAGGACCATCTTCCCTCAGCCCGAATAGCACCTGAAAGTTTTTGGTCCAAATCTTGGTGTGTTGCCCAGCTTCTAAACTTCCTAACCCAGAAAGGAATAAACGCAAGAAGGGGAGGTCATGCTAAATGGGAATTGCCCAACAATCCCACAAATTCTGAAAGGGAGGGAAAAGTCTGCTACAAAGAAGGTAAGGATCAAAGATCTACAGGGAAAAGACTTTCTTAGCATGGACTTCCCTACTCAAACCAAGGTTACTGTAAGGAAGGTACAGTGTGTTCCAGCACAAGAAGACTCGTGCATGAGCATGCACATGTTTCTGGGCATAAGGCCTCTACCAGACTTATATTAGCACGCATGTGCAGACATATTAGCGTGTAAGCTGAGCAGTGTGTACACATGCACTCTTGGCACTTGTCTTGGCACCAAACAGCCTATTTAAGCTGGAGTCTGATATACACCAATTGCTGAGTGGCCTTCAGCTAGTTCCTTAAAAATAGGGGACTCCCAGAAAGCAACCCCCTTATACTTACTACATAGTACCCTTACTCATTCACAAAAAAATTTAACCAAATATGGTACATTAGGGGACCAGGAGATGTCATTCAGTGCAAGGAAAGATAAGGGACTGGGTATGTCTCAGCGGGAATCTGGTTTTTTTATTTGGCTGGTTGGAGGTTTTCATTCTTCATAAGGATGTGGTCCTGCATCTCTGGACAACGTGATTAATGGTGGGTGTACATCGTGAGTCAAAATTGTTTCTGTTTTTTTTTTACTGAGTGGCCACCAGGCCAGTGTTGGAGGAAAGAACATAGCTTCCAACTGTCTCTGATTTAGAAGGACTGTCCCTCTTTGAGATGAATGTCCCTCATGCAGCCTCAGTTGTCCCTCTTTTTGGTCTGATGTATACAGTATATCTCTATACAAAAGTATTACTTTACACCCAAAATTGTTATACTGCATTAAATATTTTTATCCAGTCTCTATATTACTGCATTTATTATTTTGAAAAGTCAAAATAAAGAAAAAAAAGAGTTTAAAAAAGCACTTGTGTGGTTTAGCAAATCATTTTCTGCATATTAGATCTTTGTGGTCCATGTAACCAGAGCCGTGGAATGGATGATTCCTTTGCCTACATATTGGGGGGGATTTACTATAACTAGTACATGCAGAATGTGGTGCAGCTGTGCATAGTAACCAATCAGCTTCTAAGTTCAGCTTGTTCAATTAAGCTTTAACAATAAAAAATAGAAGCTGATTGGTTACTATGCACAGCTGCACCAGATTCTTTGTACACTAGTTTTAGTGAAAAGGTGCAAAAGCTCCATGCGTTTTCCCTGTATATGCATTTTTAAAATGGCGCAAGCACCTTTTTTTGTGGAAATTGACTGTAGCAAATTGACATTTTAAATATTGCTTGCAACATTTTGTATAAAACACAAATATTTCATATGATAAATGCTAATTAAATAACCCCTAGGTGTGTTATTGGCAGGATAACCAGGTGAAAATAAGGGAAAAAGGAATGTTAAAAAATGTATGCAGCCCCCACATCTAAGGAATGGTAAATTGCAATATAGAAACTTTTTTTCTAGTTTTGGATACAGTAAACTCAGGTTTCACTGCTGTCTATTTCCCTGCTGGTCACATTCACTCTATTTGTCCTGTTGTCTCTTGTCAGTAGGACAGAAAGTGATGAGAAATCCAAAATTTTACAGTTGTCACCAGGACAAAGGGACTGGGGTTGGGCAGATATCATTCCAGGTTCAATTTTGACTTAGAACTAGGGTCATTGGTTCAAATCCCAACCACAGCACCACCTGCTTGGAGTTTGCATGTTCTCCCTGTGCCTGTGTGGGTTTCCTCCGGGTACTCCAGTTTCCTCCCACACTCCAAAGACATGCTGGTAGGTAAGCTGGATCCTGTCAAAATTGTCCCTAGTATATGTATGTATGAATGTGAGTAAGGGACCTTAGATTCTACGTCCCTTGAGGGTTAGGGACTGATGTGAATGTACAATATGTATGTAAAGTGCTGTGTAAATTGACGGCGCTATATAAGTACCTGAAATAAATAAATAAATAATGAGAAATAAAGGAAAACAAACAGTATTTGTTAAATTACTAGTGGATTGAGGGATTTGTTTAAGCAGACCAGAGGAATTGCTGATCATTGTTGTTATGTTGAATAGAGATATGTATTCCATGAAGCCTCTATGGCTCTTTAAATGGGTATCCAGAACTTTAGGCTTGGCACAGCAGACATACAGGCTGATATTCCCAGAGCAAGGGTTACACTAGTATTTAATACCAGCCCTATAAAGGGATGCTTCTAGAAAATGGGATGGTGAAAGGGGAGAGGGGTTAAAACACCAACCTCATTCATAATTAAACAACCTAAACAAAGTGCCAATTTGGGGGTTACTTTCAACTTACCTTTCCCAGCAGAGTCAGTAATTTTCTACAACAGACAAAGGGGTACATTTCACACCAGTTCAACAAGGTGGAAATAAAAGTAAAAAAAAGCACTTTGAAATTTTTTTTTTTTTAAAAATCCACTATTTAGTTGATAACTCTATCCATAAGTAAAACACAAAGATGCTCCAGCATGTTCATTATGTGGCTTTCAGCTGCAAAAAAACATTTCTTTATACCATTAAAGCATGGTATTCTGGGAGATTCTCACCCTCTAGTTCCCAAATTCTACTGAAATACTGCAGTGCTTGCCATAAATGATTTTATGGCATTGATGAATACATGATTTGATGTTATTAATGAATACATGATTTGATGTTATTAATGAATACATGATTTTAATCAACTGATTTGGAATTCTATTGGAAACTGATGTAATTGGCTGAAACTGCTGAAAATATGCCCAAATGTATTGAAGCTCTGAAGAAGGGAGTACATCTCCCGAAATGCGTTAGCGCAAGACTATCGTTTGCTGCGACTATCGCATTGGTTCAGTATTTGTTTACTTGACTCTTGGTTTGTGAGTATATTCTTTTGTCATTTTTAATAAATTCCTTTTTATCACGGTAATGCACAAGGAGAGTGCACCCCTATTTTGCTTTATGCCCAAATGTATGGCCAGTATATCACACCAGTATCTAGGCTTGGAACAATTACATATAAGCTCCCCACCCCTACTACTACATCCCTACAGGTCTGCAAAGTGTAGAAACTGGGCTTTGACTTGGTGCTTTGAATCAGGGGGCCCCCATCTTTAATGAATGAGGAAAGAACAAAGAGAGGGCGCGCAGGCCTAGTGCATTACCATAAAAAATGTTTAATAAGAAATAAAATAGGTGTTGTACTCACAAACGACAATAAAGTCAAGGCACATCATAAAAGAACAGCTGGGTCAAC